CATACTTTACTCACCATAAACCTATTTTTGTATCAGTAATTATGGCTTATTTATTTATTTTTATTTTTATTTTATTTTTATTTTTTTTTGAGACAAAGTCTTGCTCTGTCACCCAGGCTAGAGTGCAGTGGCATGATCTCAGCTAACTGAAACCTCTGCCTCCTGGGTTCAAACGATTCTCCTGTCTCAGCCTCCTTAGTAGCTGAGATTACAGGTGTGCACCACCACGCCCAGCTAATTTTTGTATTTTTAGTAGAGACAGGATTTCACCATGTTGGCCAGGCTGGTCTCAAACTCCTGACCTCTGCCTTTGCCTCCCAAAGTGCTGGGATTACAGCATGAGCCAGCACGCCCAGCCAATTATGGCTTATTTAAATTGAAGAGAGTCATTCAATAAAACACTGAAAATATATCCCTGGTATATTTGCTTATCGACTTTTCCAGGTGACAGATCAAAATTTATCATTATTAGTATTGCCAAACTTTAAAACAGCAATTAGAAAGATACTACTCCACACCTGGGATAAAAGATTTATATTTCACAATAGCTCAAAGAGTAGATTTTAAAATGTTCCCAACACAAAGAAATGATAAATGTTTGAAGTGATGGATATCCCAAATCCATGATGTGATCATTACAACGGTGTGTATCAAAATATCACATGCACCCCATATGCAATAATCAAAATAATTGGAAATTTTTTTCTGGTTTAAAAAATAACATAAAACTAACATCCCATTCCATACACAAATATTAACTCAACATAGGCTGGGCATAGTGGCTCATGTCTGCAATCCCAGCACTTTGGGAGGCCGAGGGGGGTGGATCACTTGAGGTTAGAAGTTCAAGACCAGCCTGGCCAACCTGGCAAAAATCTCATTTCTACTAAAAAGAATACAAAAATTAGCCAGGTGTGGTGGCACATGCCTATAATCCCAGTTACTAAGAAGGCTAAGGCAGGAAAATTGCTTGAACCTGGGAGGCAGAGGCTGCAGTGAGCTGCAATCGTCCACTCAACTCCAGCCTGGGTCACAGAGCAAGAATCCGTCTCAAAAAAATCAAATAAAAATAACTCAAAATGGATCACAGATCTAAATGTAAGAGCTAAAATTATAAAACTCGTAGAAGAAAATGCAAGTGTAAATTTTCGTGACCTTAGGTTAGGCAATGATTTCTTAGATACAACACCAAAAGTATAAGCAATGAAAGAGAAGAATGACAAATTTAACTTTATTAAAATTAAAAACATTTGTGCTTCAAAGGTCATACATCTGATAAGGGATAAGGGACTTGTATCCAAAATATATAAACAATTGTAACTTAATTTTTTTTTTTTTTTTGAGACAGATTCTTGCTCTGTCACCCAGGTTGGAGTGCAGCGGCACCATCTTGGCTCACTGCAACCTCTGCCTCCCAGGTTCAAGCAGTTCCCTGCCTTAGCCTCTGGAGTAGCTGGGATTATAGGCACCTGCCACCATGCCTGGCTAATTTTTTTTTTTAGTAGAGAAAGGGTTTTACCATGTTGGCCAGGCTGGTCTCAAACTCCTGACCTCGTGATCCGCCCAACTCAGCCTCCCAAAGTACTGGGATTACAGGTGTGAGCCACTGCGCCCAGCCAATAACTTAATAATTTTTTAAATAACCCAATTTTTTAACTGGCCAAAGAATTAGAACATTTTCCCAAAGAAACAAAAATGGCTAATAAGCACATAAAAAGATGCCCAACATTAGAAAAATTCAAATCAAAACCACAAAGAGATGCCACTTTTCACCCACTAGGATGTCTATAATCAAAAAGACAGAAAACAGTAAGTGTTGGTGAGGATGAGGACAAACTGGAACACAATACTGGTGATGAAGTCACTCTGGAAAACAGTCTGGCAGGTCCTCAAAATGTTAAACACAGAATTACCATATGACCCAAGAATTCTACTCTATTCTGCCAAAGTAACTGTAATCCCTGCACTTTTGGAGACCAAGGCGGTGGGATCACCTGAGGTTAGGAGTTCGAGACCAGCCTGGCCAACACAGTGAAACCCATCTCTACTAAAAATACAAAAATTAGTTGGATGTGGTGGCACACGCCTGTAATCCCAGTTACTCGAGAGGCTGAGGCAGGAGAATCACTTGAACCCAGGAAGCGGAGGTTGCAGTGAGCCGAAATTCTATGATTGCACTGCAGCCTGGGTGACAAAAGCTAAATTCCATCTCAAAAAAAAAAAGCAAGAAAAAAAAAAGAAAACCTATGCTTACACAAAAACTTGCACGCAAATGTTCATAGCACTGTTGTTCTTGATAGCCAAAAAACTCAAATGTCTATCAACTAATGATTGGACAAATTGTGATAAATTCTTACAATGGAATATTAATCAGTAATAAAAGTAGTAACATGTGCTACAACACAAATGAACCTCAAAAACATGTTAATGAAAGAAGTCCATGATGGAAGATCACATACTGTATGATTTCACTTATTTAATAAAATATCCAAAATAGGTAAATCCATAGAGACAGAAAGTAGATTAGTGGTTGTCAAGGGTCAGGGTTTGTAAGAATGCAGAATCACTGCTAATAGGAACCTGATTTCTTTTGGGAGTGATTAAAAAGGTCCAAAATTAAATCGTAGTAATAGTTGCACAACTCTGCAAACATACTAAACTTCTCAATTGTAAGCTTTGAATGAGCAAATTTTACTGTACATAAATATAGCTCCATAAAACTGTCTCAAAGAGAAGAAGGGGTCCGAGCTATTATATAACTATGTCGGTATTTTAAGTTTGAGAGCCGATGTGGCAGAAGTTATACAAGGGATTTATATGCAAGCTTTAAATGCCTTCCTACTCTTTAAATCTATAAGCCCTTTAATATTTTATTTTTATTTTTCTGTCACCCAGGCTGGAGTGCAGTGGCGTGATCTCAGCTCACTGAAACCTCGACCTCCTAGGCAGAAGAATCCTCTTGCCTCAATCTTCTGAGTAGCTGTAACTTTAGCCACTAACCAGCACATCCAGCTAATTTCTTCAGGTTTTTATAGAGGTTTCACCATGTTGCCCAGGCTGATCTCGAACTCCTGGGCTCAAGTGAACCTCCCACCTCAGCCTCCCAAAGTGCTGGCATTATGGGCGTGAGCCACCACGCCTGACCTCTTTTAACTTTTTATTTACTTAATTTCAATAGGCACACAGATATGTGGGAAATAGGCTCACTGGATATGCTAAAGCTGAGGCTAGCTGTGGGCAGAAGGTTGCCTTGGGTTTTGTTTTTTTGTAATTTCCTCATAGAGTAATGAGGGCAGAGACTGTTAGTTTTATCTCTGAATTTTCATACCCAACACAGAATGTGGTACATACTGGGTGCCAATTAAATGCTGAAGAAAAAAAAATATATACCTGGAAGGCAAGGGAAAAAAGAGTCTATGCAAATTTAAGAGGTTTAAAATTATCTGTTACAGGAAAACAAAAGACTTAAACACCAGGCATACCAAAGAAAACTTCTGAATTAAAATAGTGAAAGAAAATATTCTTTAAAAAGACATAATTAATTTATAAAGCCAAAGAAAAACATGACCTCAAACACCTCCTCTGCAGCACAAAAGAGGAAGCAGCAGAGTGCAGGAGTTAAGAACACTGTCTTTGGAATCCTCCATTTAACAAATATTTACAAAGTATTTACAATGTGCAAGACATAGGCTTAAACACTAGAGAAACAGTGACAAACAGGGGCCTGCTCTTAGGGACATTTCATTTTCATGCAGGAGAGACATAATAAACAAATAAATAATTTTAAGAAGTGGTAAGTGTCATGAAGCAAATCAAATGAATATAGAAAAAAAGGGAATGATTAAAAGGGCAGCTTTAGGCAGAATGGTTATTTGAAAAATTCACATCGAAGTTTTTTTAGAAGATAAATTAGCTGGTTTAAAAATAAACCCTGCCAGTATATTTCCAAACCTGGGGATGCATAATACAATTATAAGGCATAAGATTAAAAGGTTGCTTTTTTTTTTTTTTTTTTTTTTAAGAGATGGGGTCTCACTATGTTGCCCAGGCTGGAGTACAGCAGCTATTCACAGGAGCAATCCCACTACTGATCAGCACGGGAGTTTTGACCTGCTCCATTTCCAAACTGGGCCGGTTCACCCCTCCTTAGGCAAGCTGGTGGCTCCCCGCTCCCATGAGGTCACCATATCAACGCCAAACGTACTGCAGACACCCGATCAGCATAGCGCACTACAGCCCAGAACTCCTGGGCTCAAGCAGTCCTCCCAACTTAGCCTCCCGAGTAGCTGGGACTACAGGCATGTGCCACTGCACCCAGCAAGGTTGCATTTTATTCATAAATAAACCATAAATTAAAATAACTTTTATCTTTACAATCACTCCTTCCTATATAAATTTTTAAAAATAAAACCTGTTTATCCCCAGTATTTTGCCTATTGTATTAATTTGCTTCTAACTGGAACTAAGCTAATGAAGCTTTAGGTCTGAAGTCAGTGATCCTAAGACTCTCAAGAACTGAAATATAGGCTAAATCTTAAATAGCATGGTTTAGAACACCCCATCATTACTTTTCCTACTCCCTGCCCTACCACCACCCTGATGTGGTAGACAATGGCAACTATCATCACTTTAGGCACAGATATTTCATCCCAGAAAATTGGAAGCTCCACATCCAATTGCATATGCATTTCTAGGCTCCTCAGACCTCAACACTCTAATGTGCAAAACCAAATGAAAATCAGATCCAGTGTGAGTAATGCATACAAAACATCTCACAAAATAGCTCTTTTTAACTTGACTAAAACAGTGTAAGTTATCCTCTTTTCCTATTTTATTAATCTAAGAATTTTTAAAATGATGTCAAAGAAAAAAATCAAGATCACTTTAATACAGAAATTTATATGACATTCTACCCATAATTTTCAGAAACTTACCACATATCAGCCAAAAAAAAAAAAGCAGAACTAAAGAAAAGTTCAAAACACTAAGAGTCCACTAACCTTAACCCATTGAACAGCTGCTTAGATTTATCCAGAAGGTAACAAAAATCTGTAACTGTTTTCCTCTCACCCTGTGGGATATCATCTTCAGCACCTCCAGAGGACATGATTTCTTTAAGAGCAAATTCAGTCCTGTAAGAAAACATATGTTCATTCATCCAGTAGGTAAAAATAAAAATAGAAAAAAACCTTAGTTACATCATCCGATAGTATTTTTTATCCAAGACAGGCATAGAATTCTTCTGATTATAATCAAATCATAAAAATAATTGAAGTGTAAGATGCTGTAAAAAAATAGATCATCTCCTATCGTTGGTATGGATAAAAATAGAAACCACATTACAAAGCAATTTTTTAACATTCTTTCATCTAATAAATATTGTTTGAATGCCTATTATGTTCTAGGCATTACTCTACATGGTTAACAATCTAAATATATCTATTCATTTATTTGTCCATTTGATCTGTTCTATAAATCCATTCTGGAAAATGATCCCACAAATGGAAAATACTTATCCAAATATTTATTTCAGTATCATAACATTTAAAAATTGAAAACAACCTAAAGGCCCCAAAGATGAAAACAGTTAGGAATACTGATCACTGCACTCTACCCAATCACTAACTTACAACTCTGTTTAAGAAAGTGAGGCAATGGTATGAGTACACTTCAGTATAAAAGGGATGTAAGGCTGGGCACGGTGGCTCATGCCTGTAATCCCAGCACTCTGGGAGGCCAAGGCGGGCGGATCACAAGGTCAAGAGATCGAGACCATCCTGGCCAACACTGTAAAACCCCGTCTCTATTTAAAAAAAAAAAAAAAAAGATATAAAATCACACACACACACACATAGGTATATTAAAACTATATTCAATTCAAACTATCTCCATTTGTAATAAACTTCATAAACTTGCCATGTTAAAAAAAAAAAAAAAACCAGTAAGTTGTGAGACAGTATGTACAATACAAACCTAAACTAAATTTTAAAACTAATTTGTGTTTACCTACAGACAAAAATCCCCGGAAAAACATAGGAAAATTTGGTACTGGTATAGAGTGTAAAAATAGGCAGATAAAATATAATCACTGAAATAATGTGATACAATTGGTGAAATAATGAACTTTAATAGATGGACTGAAGAACAGAAAGGATACAGTTGAACAAATTAACAATCTGAAATATCAGATTTGGGGTACTCTACCAAAAGACAGTAGAAAGAAATAAAATACATAAAAGAAAAAGCAAGAGATAAAATAGAGAAATGAGGAAAATCAACTGCCACATAATAGCTCACACAGGAGGGGAGACAAACACAAATGGGGGCAAAAAAATATCTGCAGAAATAATGACTAAATTTCCCAGAATTAGGGAAAACATGCCTAAAACAGAAAGGACTCAAAGAATGTCAAAATAATCCCACAGCTAGAACCACTAAAGTAAAACATAGAAAATCAGAGTTCTCTTCCTTTCTTGAAAAATTCACTCTTCACCAAGCAGGTATCCACATCATAGAGTATCTGCAGGGGTGTCGGAATATAAGCTATGTGAGGAGGCTATTTGAAGGCAGAGCCAGCTTGCACAGAATGTTGAAGGCCAAGTGTGGTGAGAAGGGCACCCATGAAGACAGAGGACTGGCAGGGAAAGTAGGAGGCTGAGCACAATGATGGCGCCTCCATGTAGATGGGTTCAAAGCAGCAATGGGAGATTTGCTATATGTAGAGGATGGATCAAATAAGATCTATTAAGGGCTCATGCCTGTAATCCCAGCACTTTGGGAGGCAGAAGCAGTAGGATTGCATGAGGCTGGGGGTTCAAGACCTGCCTGGGCAACACAGTGGGATCCTGTCTCTACAAAAAAATTTTAAATTAGGCAGATGTAGCTGGGCATGGTGGCTTATGCCTATAAGCCCACCACTTTTGGAGGCCGAGGCTGGCGGATCGCCTGAGGTCAGGAGTTCGAGACCAGCCTGATCAGCACAGAGAAACCCCATCTCTAATAAAAATACAAAATTAGCTAGGCATGGTGGCGCAGCATGCCTGTAGTCCTGGCTACTCAGGAGGCTGAGGCAGGAGAATAGCTTGAACCTGGGAGGCAGAGGTTGTGGTGAGCCGAGATCACGCCACTGCACTCCAGCCTGGGCAACGAGAGCCAAACTCCGTCTCAAAAAAAAAAAAAAAAAAAATTGCCTGGTGCGGTAGCTCAAGCCTGTAATCCCAGCACTTTGGGAGGCCAAGGCGGGTGGACCACGAGGTCAAGAGATCGAGACCATCCTGGTCAACATGGTGAAACCCCGCCTCTACTAAAAATACAAAAACTAGCTGGGCATGGTGGCGCGAGCCTGTAGTCCCAGCTACTCGGGAGGCTGAGGCAGGAGAATTGCTTGAACCCAGAAGGCGGAGGTTGCAGTGAGCCGAGATCATGCCATTGCACTCCAGTCTGGGTAACAAGAGCGAAACTTCGTCTCAAAAAAAAAAAAAAAATTAGCCAGATGTGCTGGTGGGTGCCCATAGATCCAGCTACTCAGGAGGCTTAAGTAGGAGGATTGTCTGAGGCCAGGAGTTCAAGGGTGCAGTAAGCTATGATCACTCCACTGCACTCCAGCCTGAGTGGCACAGAGTGAGATCCCATCTCTTTAATAAAAGAAAAAAATTTTTTTAAAGATCTATTAAAGACAATGGGACCCAGAGTTGGAAGATGCAAATACAGAAATGGAAAAAGTTAGAATGAACTCTGTGGATTGAAACTGAGCCAGGCACGGTGGCTCATGCCTGTAATCCCAGAACTCTGGGAGGCCGAGATGGGCGCATCGCTCGAGGTCAGGAGTTTGAGACCAGCCTGGCCAACATGGTGAAACCCCAACTCTACTAAAAATACAAAAATTTTGCCGGGCTTGGTAGTGGGCACCTGTAATCCCAGCTACTTGGGAGGCTGAGACAGGAGAATCACTTGAACCCAGGAGGCAGAGGTTGCAGTGAGCTGAGATCATGCCACTATACTCCAGCCTGGGTGACAGAGTGAGACTCCATCTCAAAAAAAGAGAAACTGAAAGTATGAGTGAACTAATGGATTTCAAAAGACATGGACATACATGCATGGTGTGTGTGTATACATACACACAGATGCATACTCCTCCTAGCTCTGTAATTCTATCTACTGAGGGGGCCTTAGAACAGTGACCATCTTCCCTCCCCAGTGATATGAACGTTTCTAGCACCTAGCTCTTGGCCTCTAATACCATTCTCCAATAAAATGAACCAGACCTCTTTGGAGAATTGTAATTGGCTAATTATAGGATGAGTCTAGAATATCTAGTGCCAGAAAGCAAGAAAGTACTCAAGGGATGCTAAAGACATATCAAAAGGACATAGGATCAAGGTTGAAGGAGATCCCACTGGCCAAACCAGTAATTTCAGCATCAATACCAATTAATGATAGCAATGGATTATAACCTATTGAACAAAATAAGAAATAATGAATTTATGTGTCTGTGTGTGTGTGTGTGTATAAATGAATGAATAAATGGAAAGTGTGGTAGTGAATGAGATAGTTTCAGAATATTTCCCCCATAAACTACACATTACTTCCCAGGGAAAAAATAACTTCACAGCAGTAAAACCTGGCAGACACTGCCTTGATCAAATGATCAAAGTGAACGTCATTACTAATCAGACAAATCAAAGTCCTATGCAATGAGAAGTGATGTTCTTGTCAAAATCTGTGGCTTGAGTCTAATCATGAGGAAACAGACAAAACCAAGTTGGGAGACATTCTACAAAATAGCCAACCTATAATCTTCAAAAATGTCAAGGACTTTCCTTCAAAGAAAAGTGAAAGCTAAGGTATAATGTCTGATTCCCTACTGGATCCTTCTGCTTTAAACGATGTTACTGGGACAACTGGTAAAGCCTGAATGGGGTCTAAGGACTAGACAGGAATAAACTTTCAATGTTGATAAGAAAAATGTTCAACCACCAATAAAAAATTGGTAACAAAATGCAAACATGGCAAAACACAGTAACAAAATACAAACCTAATGCAGCAAAATGAGCACATTAAAACTATACTAATTTGGGCCGGGCGCAGTGGCTCACGCCTATAATCCCAGCACTTTGGGAGCCAAGGTGGGTGGATCACGAGGTCAAGAGATTGAGACCATCCTGGTCAGCATGGTGAAACCCCGTCTCTGCTAAAAATACAAAAAATTAGTTGGGCATGGTGGCGCGTGCCTGTAATCCCAGCTACTCAGGAGGCTAAGGCAGGAGAATTGCTTGAACCCAGGAGGCGGAGGTTGCGGTGAGCCGAGATCGCACCATTGCACTCCAGCCTGGGTAACAAGAGCGAAACTCCATCTCAAAAAAAAAAAAAAAACTATACTAATTATAGCAGTTGAACATGCACTGAAACCAGCACAGTTGCTAGAGGCAGTGTAAATTAGTTTAAACTCATGAGTTTACCTGAATGTATGAGGGTACATTAAATGGTCTATTAGATCCATCAATTACACTTCTGAAAATTTATCCTGAAGTTAGCTGTCTTTACTGGTAAATTACTGGTGAAGAATCACAAGTACTGGTGAAGAATCACTAGCATCTGACATTTTTCAAAATCTCTTTCCAGTCTCACCTTTCACTAGCGCACACATACCTATTCTCTGACCACAAAGAAATACTTGAAAGCCTCTAAACAAATCCTACTCTTATACAACATCATGATTTATATGCTATTCCCCAGCCTATTTTGTTTACCTACCAAATTTATATTCATAGTTGAAGACATAATTCAAATGACAACTTTTCAGTAAAACTTTCCTTGAAAATCTAAATCTCTCCCTGGCACCTACTTATGACCAACTCAATAGGGGCTTCTTTAGTTACTTAACAAAAAGTTAAACAAATGTAACAATTATTTGTTTTTTGAAAAGTTTATCTCACCATCTAGACACACATTGTCCAAAAGTGTAGTCAGTAGCCATTTGTCACTATTTAGCTTGAAACATGGCTACTCTGAATTGAGATGTGCTGTAAATGTGAGGTACAGGTGTAAAATATGCCAGGTTTAGAAGGCTTAGTATGAACAAAAGAGCCATGCCAGAGAGTGAAAGAAAACTGACAAACATATAGCAAAGTAA